AGAGGCAGCTCTGCCCTGCAGACCCAGTCGATGCAGCACCTCAAGGCTGGATGCTGCAGCCTCCCCCAGAGCCAGCCACCCCAAGGAACCAATCCTGGGATGCCCAAACCACTGTAATTTGGGGTTCCCCGGCCCCCCACACCTGAATCCTTTGCTCTCCTGGCCCATTCGGAGATGTCGTCCTGGGACCGCCCATCCGTGAAGACAAGTCCAATTCTGGGGACGTTGTGGGAGAGAGGTCTGGCACCTTCCAGCTCGGAGAAGCTGTGCTCCACCATGTGCTTGAGGGCAAGGCCCGTCATGGTGCCTTTCTCCATGTACTCCATCTCCATCACCGCCTTCTTGATCTCATCTGCGCTGTGGTACTTGTTGAGGGGGAACTCGGTGCGGACGCGGCTGGAGTACTGCACCAGCCCGACCCGCGTGCCGTGGGGGGACACCTCCAGCAGGTCCACGACGCGGTTCACAAACTGCTTCACCAGCTCGAAGTTTTGAGGCCGGACACTCTTGGAGCCATCGATCACCATCACCAGGTCAACATGCCCAGCCCCGCATTCTGCGGGCACAAGGCAAGGGTGAGAAAGGACCAACCTGGCCGTGGGCACTGCTGGAGTGAAGATGCGCAGGGCTGGGGAAGAGCTGCTGGGCTTCAGGACACCATGTGGGTCCCCTGGATCTGCAGCTGGGGCGAAGCTGGGAACAGGGCAAAGAGGGCCCAGGGGTCTCAGCCCAAAAACCTCTGCTGCCACCGCGGCATCCCCTGAATGTGTCCCTTTTCCTGAACCTTTCCTCAAAGCTCCTATTGCATCTTCTGGGCCACGCCTCTGAGGACACGAGCCATCCATCCCCACAGCAGCCGGGGCGCTCCCCCAAGCTCAGCCTGCTCTCCATCCTCCTTCCAACCCAGCTCAGACAAAGTCCCGCTTAGACCCCAGCCCAGCTCCAGGTAAGCCCTCGCCAGGAGCAGAGAGCCCAGATGAGGAGGATGCCAAGCGCCACGTCCAGGTACTCACTGCTGCACGCCTTGCCATCAGCCTGGAGCTGCTGGCCCTCGGGGCACACGCAGCGGTAGGAGCCCTCCGTGCTCTCGCACTTGAACTCGCAGCCGTGATCCACCCCGTTGCAGAGGTCGGTGGCTGGAAGACACGCCAAGGGCACAGGGTTATCCCGGTCCAGGCGGCGTGGCCCAGGAACAGCCCTTCCCCTGGGGACCGGCAAGGCAGGGTCTCTGCTGTACACTGCAGCCCGTGCCGCGCCAGGACGTACCCCTGCAGGACCTGCTGTCGGGCTGCAGCGTGAACCCGCTGCGGCAGCGGCAGTAGTGCCCGTTGGGGATGCTCACGCACTCGTGCTGGCAGCTGTGGTTTCCGAAGCTGCAGTAATCGATCACTGGTGAGAGAAGGAGAGGAGAGGTGGGCAGCAAGGGAGAGACGAGAGCAGAGGGAGATGCGAGAAGCCAATGAAGAAGGGACAGGAAGGGAGACACTTACTAGAGCAGGTCCTCTTGTCCTGGTTGAGGGAGTAACCAGCACGGCAGCGGCACGAGTATGACCCACGAGCGCTGACGCACTGGTGCTGACAACCGTGACTCCCCTCTGCACAGGCATCGATGGCTGCAGGAGAACAGGACTCCCGTCACCCTCCCGCCCCGCTCTCCCCGGGGGAAGCTGAGCAAGGACTGCTCCAGGGCTTCAAGGAAGCTCCCAGAACCCCAAAACAAGAAGGAAAAGTCCTGGGGCGGTGGCCAGAACCAACTAATACAGCTTTGCACTCAAAACACAGGGCCAAAACACTGTGCCCTTTGGTGGCTGGGATGTTCATCGTGCAGTACCCACTGCCCGGAGCTCCCTCAGGCGACAGCTGGTTGTGCCCACACGAGCCCCAGGTGTCCTGTCCCAGAGAGGTGACCAGGATTTAGTGATGCTGAATGTCCACAGTCGTTACAGACCCGGGAGGCAGCGTGTCCAGTGAACAGAGCACCCAGGCTGCCGCTGCCTCCCTGGGTCCTCTGCTGCGTTTCAGCTACCCTCCATGAGACCTGCAACTGCAAGCCCTCTATGAGAGTTAGGATAAAAAAGGTTTTTACGGGAACAGGTCTTTCCGTCCACGTTGAGCCTGTAGCCCAGGTTGCATTCGCAGTAGAAGGAGCCGGGGGTGCTGACGCAGCTGTGCTGGCAGCCATGCTCCTGCTCCACACACATGTCCACCCCTGCAAGACAGAAAGGGCATCAGAGCAGCCCACAGGCACGCTGGATGCATGGGGGCCATGGCTCTGGCCCGCACCCTGTTCCCAAGGCCGAAGCCACCACGACAACCCGCACAGCCCCAGCCCTTCCAGTCCCAGCACCCACCCACTGATTTCCAGTGCACAGACACAGACACTGCACGGGGTGGGTTTCTGAACTGCCTTGGCTTTCAGAGCTATCCCAGCACTAAATTAATGCTCAGTATTAATTAATACTGTCGACAGCTTGAGCTGAGTAAGCAAAAGCTTGAGCTCAGCGGGAACGTGCTGAAGGAGCCAGGTCTGCCCGTCTGTGGGGCCGGGAGCCTGCAGAGCCAGCCGGGAAGCGGGCACCAGGGCACGCAGTGACGGGCAGGGCGTTGTAAGCAAAGGCACCAAGCGCTGGAGCACATCGGAGCCCCGGGGGTAGGGGGGCAATATGTGGTCTGCCCTGGACCCCTGCACCAGCAAGCAGGGTCTCACGTAACACAGCCCTGTGGGCATGCCCGTGCCCCTGGCTAGGAAACGGTGCCCGAAGGATGCTGGCAGCTGCCTGCTGCCCTTCGAAAGACGCTGAACCACGTGAGCAAGGGTCTTGCCAGCCCGCTGCAGTGCCAGGTCTCCAGCAAAGCCCACCAGCATGGCAGGGGGACCAGACAGGTCCCAGCCTGCGAGCTCCCGACCCGCGCCAGCACGGCCACGGTGCAGACCAGCCTCCCAGCTCCCGGTCGCACGCTCCGGAGCAGCGCCACACGGACAGGGATTTATTAAACACAAATGTGCATGCAGCAGACGCCATGCACGTGTCTGCATAGGAGGAGACCCTGCTAGAGCCACATTGAAATGTATACGGGGCTCTGGGACATGTCACATCCCCATCACACCCAGGGAAACCAGCTCCACATCTCCTGCTCTTTAATATTCCCATCACTGCTGCCACGACGTCCTGGCTTGGGGAAGAGCTACCGGGCACGGGTGAAGAAAAGCACTTGCTTGCAATGCTTTCAAAGCTTTGCTTATCTGACCCCAAGACAGGCGAGCAAGAGGAAAGGCCGTCTGTCCCAGCAGCCCATCCGGGAGGTTGCTTCCCTGTCCATGCTGCTCCTAGCAAGGGCAGCCACCCCGAACACACCCCTGGAGGTCAGCTTCTGGCCCAGGTGAGGAGCACACCAGGACCACCCTCATCATACCACAGCCGTGGCTCTCACCCACCGCAGAGCTTGTCCTGGAACTGCTTCCCGAACTGCTGGATGAGCTCGAAGGACTCCACCAGGAAGACGTGCTCCTCCAGCGGCGGCGAGGCCATGGCCCGCAGCGAGTTCATGTCCGCCCGCTGGATGCCCACAGCGTAGATCTCGATGCCAGCGTTCCGGGCCTGGGTGGCCACCTCGGTGACACGGTCCTGGGGCCGTCCGTCCGTCACGATGATGGCAATGCGGGGGATCTTCTTGTGTGGAGGGCGCGCGCCCTCCTGCGTGGTGAAGGCCACGTTCATGGCATACTGGATGGCCAGCCCTGTCATGGTGCCCTGGGCCAGTGGCACGATGTTGTTGATGGCCTTCTCCATGTCTGCCCGTGTGAAGAAGGTCTTGAGGGAGAAGATGTTCTGCACCTGGCTGGAGTACTGGATCACCCCGACCCGCGTGGCGTTGGGGCCCACGTCCAGGCTGCCGATGATGTCCATCATGAAACGCCGCATGGTCTCGAACTCGAAGGGGCGCACGCTGCGGGAGCTGTCAATCACAAACACGATGTCCAGGGGACCCGTCCTGCACTTCAGGGCTGGAAGGGGGCAAAGAGATGGTTCAGCCTCAAGGCTGCCTGCAAGGAACAGGGCCGGAGCGGGGACATCCCCGTCGGGTAGCGGGAGGGGTGCTCAGTGCTGGATGGAGAGGGCAGGTCTGGGCAGCCCCACAGACCAGCACCTTCCCACTGCCAAGTAAACCCGTGGAGGATGCTGGCAGAGGGGGAGCAGGGACGGCAGGCAGGGGGGACATGCCCTGGCCACGGGGCTATGGGGAAATGGCAGCGTCCCCTCCTCCCCGACACTGTCCCTGCAGCCAGACCCAGCTCCTGCTCCCCGTGCTCCACAGCTGACAGCCCCAGGGGCTGCAGAAATGCCTCTCAGCATCTGCCCTGGCAAGGTTTAGGCACAGGTTTAAGCAGCGACGTCTTCATCTCTGCAGTAAATCAGAGCATTAAAGCACAAAACAGCCCAGTGCCTCGTGCTGTCCTCTGCAAGCTGCAGCTCCTGCTCCAGACCTCTGCACCGCACGGGCTCCCACCGCTGCGGTGCCCAGCACAAAAGTACTGCTGTGGGCAATTCTGTTCCCTCGCAGCTCCCGCTTCCCCCGGTTTTTACTGCATTTTGTCAGTTTCTGCCTAAAACCAGGGCTTGCTTTGTTGTGCTCCTTTTTTTAAGGGCAGAAAACGAGACAGCGAAAAGCACAGCTAAGGGCATGCGCATGGCAGGGACTGAGCCAAAAAGCCTCTCTTGGACACATGGGTGCAACTTCCAGTGCAAACCGGGAGAATGTTTAGCAAGTGAAAGGCCAATGAACATATTTTGCTTGGCTTGTGCGTACCCAGGCCTGGCAGAATTTGGCCATAAGGGTAAGTGAACACTTTGAGTCCCCTTGGGATGATGCCCAGACCTTGGCTGTCATCTCAACAGCTCTGAAGATCTCTGAGACATACGCTGCTCCTTTCCCCATTCGGTGTCTTCACTGTTTTCAAACTGGAATTGATTTAGCTCCCTCTGCCCAGGGAGGAGAGAGGCTGGTGCCCCTGGGTTTGCTTTGTCCCCCCCATCAGGAGAGCCAGGCAGGGAGAGGGTTTCCCCTCCTGCCTGTGCCTCCTGCCAAGGTCAGGGCCCATGGGCAGAAGGGTGACAAGCCCTGAGCTGGGCTGTGTCAATGCTGAGGATGGGCCCAGAGCAAGTGGCACCAGACCCACCGCGCTGGGGCTGGGCTCAGGCTCCCGCTCCCCTGGGCAGCGCCGGGTCCCACAGCTGGGGGGATCCTCCATCCTCACAGGGATGCCCCCGAAGGAGCTGCATCAGGTCCCCCCACCTCAAGCAGCAACCCACCCTCCAAGGGCATCGCTGCCCTGACACACTCGCCTCTCTCTCCTCCAGGCAATTCCCACCGGCCAGGGCTCACCTGCAGGTTTTGGTCTGGCTTCCAGCATTGTCAGGAGAAGCAGGAGGAGAGGGGCAACGGGCAGGAGCTTCATCATGGCTCTGCGAGACCACACGGCTCCAGGGCTGGGGGGACTCGCTGCGGGGAGAAGATGACGTTGCAATCAGTGCTGAGGGTGGGCTGAGCTGCGGGGCCACACTCGCCTGCAGTGGGTGTCCCCAGGCAGTGCCAAAAACCCTGAGCAGCAGCAGTTGTGACAGATCCATCCCCAAACTTCTCTAAACCCACGTGGGACTTTTCCCATTCCAGGACTGGCAGTCTCAGCACAGCCACATTTCATTACAGTAGCAAAAATCTGCCAATGGGTCTGATTTTCTGCTCTGGGTGGAGCTGGCCATCGGACAAGCCTTATTTTCACTTGCAAACCAGGCGGATGGGATGTTCAGCCAAATGCTTCTTCACCGGCGGTGCGGCTGCTCTCCGCAGGCAGCCAGGGAGTGGGAAAGCTGCCCCCGGAGACGCGGTGCAGCTGCCCTCCTGACACTCCCTCGCAACAGCGACGTGCTGGGAAGAGAAGCCCCCAGATGAAACACCAGCACAGACAAAACCTGCTCAGAAGTCTCTCAAAGTCACTGGCAGAGACCGTTTTTCCAAGAAGCTCCATAAATTTATTCTCTGCCTTTCCCCAAGCTACCTCTGGAGAGCAGGGAGCAGAAGCCTCCGCAGGCACAGGCTGTCAGGGTGCTGGTGCCGGTGGGCTTGCGCCTGTTCCCCCCAGGCAGGGTGCTGGGTGAAGCACAGCCAGTCTGCTGCTCTCCTTCCCAGCGTCACCCCAGGGGACCCCACCACTCTGTCACCAGTGCTTTGCAGCAATCCCAGTACTGCTGGCTTTTCGGAGGGATGCTCGGCCCCCCCGACGGTTTTTTCATGCATTTGAGGTGGGCTAGTTGGGGGAAAAGATATTTAGACCGATTACCCAAAACCTCAGCTTGTCACTTGTCTCCCTCCCTGCCCACCTCTGTGCTGCCTTGCCCTGCCCTGCCCTTGCCTGGCTCCTGCAGGGAACCATTTATTTGGTTTATTTTTATTCCAGCTCTGGTTGGAAACCCAAGGTGCTGAGGGAGGAAATGCCACAGTTAACGTGGCTTCCCCCGGGAGACACACAGCGCTGTGACCAGGCACAGATACTGGAAGGGTGCTTTTAAAAAAAGCACACAGAAATCCATTTTATCGGTAGTTATCAGCCGGTATTTATTTAGCCCCAGGAGGTCTCAGCTATAATTCATCACCAGGGTTGCCATTTAATTACTCAGTGGTTACGTACAGCCCTGAACCTCATGTATTTGATAGCGGTGATGCTGATAATAGGTTTCACAGCTGCATCTTAAAGTTGTCTCCAGACTCAGTGTTCACACCTGAAAAACGATACTGAAGAACTAGAAGTACAGGAAAGCGCTATAAGAGGAAACTGGGATCCAGAACACCAGTCTTGAAGTGGGAGACGCAGCCGGCTCCCGGGGCACGTGAGCAGCCCGGTGTCAGGGGCTCCTGCAGAGCCGTGCAGCCGAGGGGCCGGCGGGATTGCTCCGGGGCCAAGGGCAGGCTGCGGCCTGGCAGGCGTTTTCTAGGAAGCCACAGGGCCAAGGTGAGCATTGCTTTGTGGCTTATCCCACCTCTACCGTTTCTGCAGCTCTCCACTCTCCAAGCCTCCCTGCAGCGGCAGGCTGGCACGCAGCCTATGTCTCGCAGCATCCAGATAGCTTCAAAGCCAGCCCAGAGAGAGGAATGAGCTCTCGGGCCAGGAACCAAAGAGGAGAAAACCAGTTCACAGCTGATCTATTTTTAACAGCATCTCAGCTTTGGATGAAGTCTTGGCACTCCCCACGGCTGGAGGGGCCGATGCTGCCTGGACAGGGCAGGGCACGTCTCCTGAGCCATGCATCCAGTCCCGGCAGTAGAGACCCAGGCTGGGACAGTGCCCTGGTCCCCAGTTCAACAGAACACCCAGCCCTGCCCCAGCACAAGGCTGATGGGGATGGAGAGCCAAAGGTGCCCCCAAGTATCTCTCCCACCATCCCACGCTGGGCAACTCCCCTGCTACCTGCTGTCCTCACTGCCCCGGAGCCAGCAGCACTGGGACTGACTCACAGCCCCGTGGGGGTTCCCCCCACCCCAAGGGCTCCTGTGCCTCCCGAGCCCCCTGCTACCCACCAGGAGCGGGAGGGAGATGGGTGGGAAGCGGCCGGCTGGCAGGCAGGTGCTGCTGGGCAAGGCAAACACAGCACCGGCTGCAGCACCGGAGACCTTGAGATAAGGCTGAGCTATAAAGAAAAAAAGGTCCAGGCAGGGCAAGCGCTGCCGGCCGGGCTGGCTCAGCCAAACCCTGCGGCAGCTGAGCTGAGAGGGACACTCAGACCACTCACCAACCTTTCAGAGCAACGCAAAGGGACAGCCAGCCCACTGCTTGTCCCTGCCGAAGGAGATGCTCGGTACACGGCACAAAGAGGGTGACCAAGGGAAGAGCCACATGTAAGGACAGAAGGGTTGGCAATGACCCCAGCCTCCTCTCGGCTCCCATCATGATCTCGGACAAGGAGGACATGGAGATGACTCTCCAGAGGCAAACAGGTAAGCCAGCACGCCTTCCCCGGGCACCTCTGGCAGCACTGCCACCCGGGCGCTCGCATCCCTCCCCGCTCCGCCGCTCGTCCGTCTGCTCTCCCTGCCAAGTGCTGAGTCTCAGGAAAAACAGCCGCTTCGGGTTTCAGAGCAGCCTCCTTGGCAGCTCTCTCCTGGCTACAGGTTAACAGAAATGCTTTGAATTTTCCCCTTCTGGTTCATCCGCACAGGTTGGACCTTAGCGCATCCTCCCTTGGGCAAGCCCAAAGGACAGGGCATCGTAGGGAGCAGGGTGAGGGATGCAACCACCTCCATACCCTCCTCGCTGTTACAGGGGTGGGGGCTTTATATATTGAATTGTAGAGGGGATGAAGCAGATGGAGAAAGAAGGGGTGAAAGGCTCAGGAGGTGGCTGTGCATTCATAGCCCAGGAAAAGCCCCAACCGTAGCGTCACAAGGAGGAAAGCAGGTTGTGGACCATGGCTATGGACTCATGGGCCAGGTCTCAGGTACAACCACACACAACATTTCATACAACTGGGCACATCAGCCTTTAGCTGATATTTCTGTTTACAACAAAACACACCCGACTCCAGCCCCCTACTCGAGCTTGGCAGACCCTTGGCACGCTGTGGGAGCAGCAGCAGCAGCTCTGCCCTTGCTCCAGACCCTGCCAGAAGTCAGGAGAAGGGATTGCTGTGCATTGCCAGGAGCAGGGCGCAGCCAGGGGCCTCTGACCAAGCACGCTGGTACCCAACATGAGCAAAGCCAGCGGGGTGTCCCATGCAGCATGCCCATGTGCTGGAGGAGGCACACACAGCGTGCCTGGGCACACGTGGCAAGGCATGTGGTACTGACACCACATGTGCTACCAGCTACCAGTATGTATCTCTGTGCTGGAAACCCTGGCCGATGGTAGAACAGCCCTAGACATGGTGTTCCTGAGACTCACCTGCCTCGCCTGCCTCTCCATGTACCCTGTTCTGTTCTGCATGGCTTCTCTTTGTGGAGACTGAATCAGGCCATTTTGAATCCCACATGAGTATTATTTGATGAAAGTGTCAAAAAAGCCCTGAAACAGGCTCAGGAGCCTAGACACCAACTCCTTGTGTTTAGGACACCAGAGTCTCGCCAGGACAACAGCAGAAATTCAGCAAGACCTGGCCTCAGGCTGGAGGATAGGGAGACAGACTTTCATGTCGTTGGCAGGACAGCAAGTCATCCTTTGGGTCCGTGCCCAAAAAAGATTGCCCACAAAGTGCACAAGGGACGATGACTGAAGCGTGTCTTGCCCCAGGCATGGGGGACAAGGAAGCAACCAGAGCTACAGACAACTTACATCAACCTGGAGGCACCTCTTGATGTCAGATTTTGCTGTGGAAAACCAGATGGACTGCTGGCACATTGTCCATGTACTTGCAAGACCCTCCAGCGGTGTGAACAGATGAGACTCAGGACAGCCGTGGAGCTGGATCCACCCTCTGTTACAGGGTTGCCCAAAGGTTGGTTTCCCCCAATACAAGACACAATCCCTAGGCACTCGCTGTCTGCAGGTGCACGGCTCTCGGGGTGCGACCCAGCCTTACCCTCTTCCAGTGCCTCTGCTGCCTGCGAGCACTGAATCCACCCGCAGGACCATTTTACGGGCAGTGCTGGCCTTGCACTCAATCACAGTTCCAGCATCTCTGTGCTCATCCTCCACAGTGGCTGGGTGATGGGTTGCAAATCCCATGAGAGACAACAGCAATGCAGTTTTCAGAGCAAGGAGGCATCAGAGAGCACAAGCCCATCAACATCAGGAAAATGGCATGAAAATGGTTTTTTTCACTCTTTCTAAGGTCTGATGTGTCCTTGATTCTTCCCAAACACACGTGTGGGAAAACAAGAGCAGACTCTTTCCAGGACATCGCAGTACTCTCCAGTTACAACACTATGGCAGCTTTACTGGGCCAAATGCCACCTGGAAGGACACGCTGTTTGAAAAACGAGGCTGCATTTCTCGAACAGCGGATGACAGCTCCAAACCCAACAGGAGCGAATCAGCAGGAGTGCTGTAACAGGAAAACCTTGCTGGGTGCCGAATGGACTTCTCTTTCTCCCCTCTTGCAACCCCATAAAGCCAATTCCTGTTTCACGGGGCTTGCTCCTGTGCTCACTACGATTAGCATGCTCACAGGGAGGGCAGGAGGAAGATGGGCTTCTTGTCCAGGTCCATCTGCAGGCTGAGTGACAGACATCTTTGTCTCACAGCTCACGCACTTAACAGTGACATGCTTATACTATGAGATGACATTTGAAGTCCTGCACTTGGCCCCTGAGATGTGTGACAGGCAAACTCAGTCCTGCTCCTGACTGGTATTTTAAGCAAACTGGAGGGATCTTGGAATACTTTTAGATTTGATGGAGAGTGATCAACAGGGGAAAGACCCCCCTCACTGACTCTCTTCAAAAAGCAAATGCTCTTCTGCAAACAGG